CTATGCAGTTCAGGCTGGCCTTGAGCTCACTTTGTAGCCCAGGCTGGTTTTGAACTTGCAATGATCCCCCCACCTCAGCCTGCTGAGTGCTGGGATTATAGGTGTGTGCCACCATGCCTGGCTTAAATCTCAGTTTTAGACTGCGGATATAGCTCAGCGGTACAGTGCCTTCCCGGCAAGCATGAGACCTTGGGTTTGATCCTTGGTACCAAAAAAAACCCCTCATTTCTTAGCCTGGTGTGGTGGTGCATGCTGGTACTCCCAGCACTCCAGGAGGCTGAGGCAGGAGGATCACAAGTTTGAGGTCAGCCTGGGCAACTCAGTACCCTTCTCAAAATGAAAAATAAAAAAGGGCCGGGGATGTGCTCAGCCCAAAGGCTGTGGGTTCTCATCTCCAGTTCCACCAAAAAACCAAACCAAACCCAAGTCTGTTACCAGGAAACATGGGTAAACAACGACAGTAAAGCTGGTCTGGAGGGGTAGCTCGGCGGTACAGCACACGCTTGGCATGCACAGGGCTCGGGGTTCAAATACTTACAGACATACGTACATGCAAACATACATGCAAACAAGCAGACAAGGACGCGGTAGTTGGAGAAGGCGCTCTGAGCTCAGTTTTCTACATGGTGAATCTGAGGGGTCTGTAAGACGGCTAAAACAGTACTCAGGTCTAGGGTTCCAGGGAGAGCTCAGGGCTACAAACGTCTGCCTGCAAGAAGCTGGCACAGCGTTCAGTGAAGCAGCAGCCAGCACACGGGAGGTCTAAAACCCTGAGGTCCTTCTAATATTGAAGGACGAGACACAGAGGTTCTGAAGAAGGTTCAAACAAACTGCACGTGCCGAGCCCCTCCACTCTGGGGCTTCCTCCTTACCATGCCCAGCTGCCCCTCTCTCATCTGCTTGACTGTAACCTCACGTTAAGGTGTGCTGTGCTACACCTGCACACAGAAAAGCCAGACCGTAGGAATCCACCTTCTTTCAAACTCGCGCCTCTTCACCTAACAGTCAAAATCAACCCATGGTCTCCTCACCCTCCATCTTCTGCAAATGTCATGACTTCTACTTGTTGATCACAGAGGGTCCCACTGCTGTTAACAAGCCTCCTCTTTGTCAGGCCAAGCACAGCTTTTATGTTTCCAGATTTCAGTAGCTTCTGCTTTTCACTTTTATCATCAGGGGAACAAAATAAGGCCCTACAGCAATTACAGAAAATGGACAGAAGTCAGGGGCAAGTCTTTGACACACGAAGTGCATGTTTTAAAGGGAAATTTCAACCAGGGATGTTGTTTTACTTATTCATTTTTGTTGTTATTAAAAAAAGAATCTTTTTTAGGCCTAAATTCAGATTCATTCAGGACTGCATCTAACTTATTTGAAGACTTATTTGGAATCTGAATTCAAAAAAAGCCAACAAAGATGAAGGAAAGTAAATTTACATACCTGATTTCTCTGATTTCCAAATTTCCCAAAGCTACAAATACAAGATTATAAACGTCAGGCACTGGAACTATCTGTAATACCGGAACCTATATAGACAAAGCAGACATAAGTAATGTTTGGGTGTTTCATTTTAAATTAATTCAAAACTTCTAAAAATTATCCCATTCTTTCACGTTTTCACTGTACTCACATTCAGACAGATGTGAGAATACCCTTCAGAGAATACCCTTCTAATAAGATGTAGATCCAAAGAAAATATATACATAAATACTTAGTACTTATCTTGAATTTATTTTTTTATTTAAAAATTTAAAAACTGACAAAACAATAATGAAGACAAAATCAAAACAACAAAAATGATACATGACTTCAAAACAAAATGACAGGAATTTACAATGGTTGCTACATTACATATCGCTATCTTCAGTGAAGTTGCTCAGTGTACTAGACATGAGAATGTAAGATTGATCAATTATAATAATCAAAGACAGCAACAAGTAAAAAATAATAATAATAAAAAAATAAAACACTGGAAATGATGCAGAGCCAAGATGGTAGGAGTGCAACAATGGTTCTTATACTGCATATTGTTCTCAGATCAGTCATTCTGATTACCAGATTCAAGTGTGTGAAATTGGTCAAGAAAAAAGAAATGTTAACCGTTGACTGTTCCTCTCAATAAACCACAGACATCAGCAATACACCTATTCCAGCTCTCCTTATGTATACATATAAATTTTGTTTGTCATTTAAAAATAAACTAAAATAACAAAAACAAATACATAAACAAAACAGCAGACAGAGGAATAAAAATGATGCAGAATTTCAAAACATGGTGATAGGATATTAACAATGGTTGCTATATTACATAATGTCATCTTCAAAATGGTTGCGCATATAACCAGATACAGGCATGCAAGACTGATCAAACAGTTACACATTAACAGTTCCTTTCAACAAATCCACAAAAAAACAAAAAACAAAACAAAACAAAAAGGCCTGGGGATCTAGCTCAGCAGCACAGCGCCTGCCTGGCAAGCACAAGGTCATGAGCTCGATTCCTGGTACCAGAAGAAAAACAAACAAACAAACAAACACACACAATAAACCCACAGGTATTAGTAGTACAATTATCCTAGTTATCCTGTGTGTACATAGACATATTTTTTCCCTCTTCCTTCTTTCTTTTTCCTCTCCCCTCCTTCATCCCAGTTGCTCCTTCCTACTTGAGCAGTTTCTCTTCTCTTTCACAGTATCTACTGTACCTTTCAGATTTTATTTACTCTTTCAGGTTCTTACACTAGGGAGGAAATACGATGTTTACACATGTGAATCTGATTTATTTCACTAATCAGTATGGTCTCTAGTTGAATCCATTTACCTATAAAAGCCTCTAGTTTATCTTTCTTTATAGCTGAGTTACACTCCATTGTATAAAAATACCACATCTTTTTTACCCATTCCTCAGGTGATGGGCATCTGGGTTGATTCCAAGATTTAGCTATGACAAATTGCGCTGCTATAAACACGGGAGCACATGTATCGCTGTGGTATGATGTTTTCAGTTCTTCTGGAAAAATACCCAGGAGGGGAAAGCCTGGGTTGAATGGGACCTCTAATCCTAGTTTACTGAGGAATCTCCACACTGATTTCCACAGTGGTTTCACCAATCTACACTCCCACGAGCAGTGGAGTAGGGTTCCTTTCTCCCCACAGGCTCTCCAGCATTTGTTTTTTTTTGTTTTTGTTTTTTTTTTTTTTGGTTTTTCTCCGGTACCGGGAACCGAACTCACGACCTTACGCTTGCCAGGCAGGCGCTTTGCCGCTGAGCTAAATCCCCAGCCCTCTCCAGCATTTGTTATGGGCTGATTTCTTCATGACAGCCATTCTTTCTGGGGTGAGATGGAATCTCAGTGTTGTTTTAATTTGCATTTCTCGAATGACTAATGACGTTGAACATGTAATCATCTCAGATGCCCATTTCTGCATTGGGTCTTTGAATTTTGGGGGCCTGTTTTTTTTTAATTCTTTACATGTTCTAGACAAGAAAGAAAACCGATGAATTGGGAAAAAATTTTAGCTAACTTGTCTTGAATTTATGAGACAAGTTCTTGCTGTGTTGCTCAGGCTAGCAATGAACTTCTGACTTTAAGCAATCCTCTTGCGTTAGCTTTTTCTGTCTTTTTTGAGACAGGGTTTTGCTACGCAGTTCAGGCTGGCCTTGAGCTCACTTTGTAGCCCAGGCTGGCCTCGAACTCACAGCGATCCTCCTGCCTCTGCCTCCTGAGTGCTGGGATTACCAGCGTGCGGCACCACGCCCGGCCCTAATTTTGTTAAACTGCCCATCTATCTTAACACACAAACGACTGAAGAGATGTCTTTTCGTGCCAACATCCTGACTTACCTCTGTGAAGTGCCAGGTATGAATTTTTTCCCACTGAGAAGGGTCCACAGGTTTCCAGACAGAAACCACATATTCACAAGCAGTTATGATACACGGTTCTCTGAAACCAGCTTCCTCCCACCACGTGACACTCACGTCCACGGAACAGGAACTGGAAGGATTCTGACCCAGAATGGCAACAACAGTGATGTTAAACAGATACCTGAGGTCTGTGCTTCGAAGAGTAAACGTGAAAAGTGATGAATTACAGGGGTTAGATAAAATACTAACATTTCATGGAGGTCAAAAGAAAAAGCTTTGTGGGTCTTACGCAGCTATCAAAAACTGCCTGTACACATTCACATAACGATGGATTTAAAGCGTATTACTCCAGAATGGGATAAATGGGATATTATTACTTTACTCTAGGATGGGACAGCTCAGGCTAGCCATAAAAACAAAGCCCATAAAAACTTCTGCATCTGAACATTAAACATCCTGATGAACCACTCCTGGGTGGACGAGGGAATCACTGAAACTACACACCACAGACCGGTGACCTGTCAGAGCCCGCGTGTCCAACTGCAACCCAACCCCACTTACTTATGGCAAAGTGCCAACACTGCAATTAAACCTGTGTCCTGAGGTTGTAGTTCAGGAGAAACAACTCATACATCAACATCTTCTGTCTTAAAAAAAAATAACACGCGTGCCGTAGGTTCCCACCACAGCAAGGGGTTGTCTCTGATTAAGTCGAGGAGAGAGCTCTGCAGGAAAACCTGCGGGGCACCCCCAGAACGGCATTTCCCAGGGAAACTCAGAATCATAAAGGCATTTACTGGACAATAAGAAAGGTTAAAATAAGACCAGCAAGTAGCTCAACAAGTTAATTTTAAAAAGCAGCAGCAAACAAAAATTAATAATAATCAAAACATTAAAAAACTAGAGAGAAGACCCTGTCTCGAAAACAAAAACTGAAAAGGCACTGGGTTCAATCCCCAGTATGGCCAACAAAGAAAAGAGGAAAAAGATTTATGTATAAAGTTGTGAACATTAATGAGTAATTCGTTAAGAATCTGAAGTATTTAAAATTGACTCAAGAATAGCTTTGAAACAGCATCAGAGCACAGATATTACTATGTATCTTTTATTTTAATTAAATAATTGATTTACTGTTTGTTTATTTTTGTGGTACTGGGAATGGAACCCGGGGGGTGCTGAATCAATGAGCTACATCCCCAGCCCTTTCAAATTCGAGGCAGGGTCTTGCTAAGTCTCCAGGCTGGCCCTGACTTACCTTTATAGGCATGTACCACTGCACTTGGCACTATGTATCTTCCACAGAAAAGGAATCTGGAGCTCAGAGGCTACATAATTTTCCCAGGGTAGAAGAACTTCATGTGCTCGTTCAGCCTGGCCTTGAGCTCACTTTGTAGCCCAACCTGGTCTCGAACTCTCAACGATCCTCCTGCCTTAGCCTTCCAAGTGCTGAGATTACAGGCGGGTGCCACCAAGCCTGGCTGTTTTGGTCTTTCTGAGACAGATCTCACTACACAGTTCAGGCTGGCCTTGAGCTCACTTTGTAGCCCAGGCTGGTCTTGAACTCACAACAACCCTCCTGCCTCGGCCTCCTGAGTGCTGGGATCACAGGCGTGCGCCACCACGCCCGGCGCACTTTATGTGCTTGAAGTTCTTTGTTTATACCAGGGGTTGTCAGCTGGGAGCAATGTCACCAGCCCCCCATCTCCAAGACCACTTAGGAAGGTGTGGAGACGTTTTTGGTTAATCACACTGCAAAGATTAACCATCCACAACATCAAAATTTAGAACTGCTACCCGCTTTAAGCTGCCATAAATGATCCTCTTAGAAACACTAGATCATTTGGACAGGAGAGGCATGAATGATTCTTATCTCACTCTGTTAAGTTTAGATATTCACTTGAGTTCCTTAGTTTAAACTGTCCCTGGCAACAGCTTGACATGTAAGTTTCAAAAGGAGAGCTCAAAACGTCATCACAGGGAACTGTTAGGAAAAAGATTTCAAATCTGTTTTTATGACTCTGCTTACTCTTTAATAGCACTAAAAAGGACGCTCCAGGTGTAGTAGCACACACCTGTAATCCCACCACTCTGGGAGGCTGAAGCAAAAGGACTACAAGTTTGAGTCCACCCTGGGCAACTCAGTGACTTAGCAAGACCCTGTCTCAAAAAGAAAAAAAAAAGAGAGAGAGAGAGAGAATAAATGGCTGGGGACGTAGTGTGAAGGCCCTGGATTCAAACCCGGAAACAACACACTCAGGACAGGAAGCTACAGGATTCAATTCTTTTCAATTTCCTTATCAACGAAGTAAAGATTTTACATGTAAGATACAAGACACATAATTAACAAAATATTCTTCTGACCTTTAATTTGGAAACCAACTGCAGACTGCCCGAGTTTAAGCTATCACAAACAGGAAGATTTGCCATTTCAGTCTGTGGAAACAAAAGTCAGGTCATTACTCAGGAGGCTGAGGCAGGAGGATCCTTGGAGTTCAAGGCCAGCCTGGGCTACAAAGTGAGCTCAAAGCCAACCTTAACTGCATAGTGAGACCCTGTTTCAAAAAGACAAAAAAAAAAAAAGAAAAAGTCACATCATTAATCTACATTTTATGTATTGTGTCTGCCTGCATTACTTACACATGAAGAGATCTACCTCACTAGTTATTTTGTCTCACCAAAGTTCCACATGCAACTGTTTCACTGATGAAATATTAGGACTCCCCTCACATTTAAAAAACACATTTAATTAACCTTAATTTCTCCAGGATGAGCTTAATGTTTACAATGAAGGCATGTCAAAGAAACATGTTGAAATATTTCTAAACACCAAGGGGCCAACTTGAGGCAGTCATATTTTCCGTATTCTTTAAGGTAATTCATTCTTTCAGAGAAAAATGCCATACAAGAAGCCATTGCTGGGTGTGGTGGCTCACGCCTGTAATCCCATCACTCAGGAGGCTGAGGCAGGAGAGAAGTTTGAAGCTAGTCTGGGATGGATATACAGTGAGTTCGGGGCCAGTCTGAACTACATAGCAAGGCCCTGTCTCAAAATCAGAAACAAAAAGTCATTGTACCTGTTCAACACAATGCTTGTGCAACTCCAGGTGTGTGTCTCCACAGAGCTCATTTTCCCTGAAAGTACATGACTCAGTGGGTGGTGCTGCTTGGGGGCCGGAGTCGCGGTCACAGGCAGATTGTCCTCGCCCACCTGACACGTGCAAGCTGGTCTCCAGTTCCGATGGGCTGGTTAAACTGTCACACTGTCTACTATCCCTAGCAGGAATGACTGGGTCTTTCAAGTGAGAAAGCTGGGGCGTACAGCCGGTTTGCCCAGCTTCAGCGGACTCTGTTCCAGAGCATGCCGGGGAGCCGAAGGCGGGAGTAGTGCCCACAAAGGGGAAAGCCGGTGAACACAGCTCTGCGGCAGGGGGGTTACCATCACTAGGAGCGGCAGAATGTAAAGGGGTAAAAAGTAATATGGATGAAGAAAGGCCTTTGTCCGTAGGCTGCCATTTCTGGCTTGGCATTTGAAGATGTGCTTTTTCTGGTAGAACCAGGTCCTCTTCCAAGTCTTCTGTTGCTGTACCTATTTGTTTAGGAATCACTTCCTGCGGAACAATCTCATTTCCTTCTTTTAGATGTCTCCCTCCATATGTGTTTGACTCAAGAGGTTCGCTTGGTTTTTCTGAGCAGGACTTCAGTTTTTTAAGCTTAAGAGGCCCGAAGTCCTCATCAGGTAACTCGAAGTCTGTCACGCTGAGACACGACAACAGTGGCTTTAAACTCAGCATTTCGTTCTTACGAGATGGAGAAGCGAAAGCGTCATCACCCAAAGCCAGAGAAGCATTACCGCTGGGAGAAAGGCACTCCTCTACTGGACAATGACCTTCCTTCCCTAAAACAGAAAAATAAGCAACGACAACAGTAACAAAAGCCAACAAGAGACATCAGTACCCAATAAAGAGTAAGTTTCCAAACTCTAATATAGTAGAAAATGTTTACACCTTCGATCCACGGCTTTCATTTCTTCTTGGCTGGAGTTGAACCCAGAGCCTTCACAAGGAACTACATCCCCAGCCCTTTTTTTTATTTTTTATTTTGAAATAGTATCTCACTAAGTCACTCAGTTGCCTAGACTGGGGGATAAGTTTCAGTTTGTTTTTTAATTTTTATTTATTTATTTTGTCTTTTTTGAGACAGGGTCTTGCTGTGCAGTTCACGCTGGCCTTGAGCTCATTTTGTAGCCCACGCTGGCCTCGAACTCACAATGATCCTCCTGCCTCAGCCTTCTGAGTACTGGGATTATAGGCATGTGCTACCACGCCTGGCATAGGTCTCAGTTTAACCACTGGCTTGGTGTGTGACCTCAGGCAAGTTGATTCTTTTTCTTGCACTTCTGCCTCAGAAGGGAACTGGACTAAAAATCTCTAATCTCTTTTCTACCCCTAAAAATGATTCCAACTGGGTGTAGTGGTGCATGTCTATAATCCCAGCACTTGGGAGGCTGAGGCAGGAGAACTGCCATGAGTTTCAGGCCAGCCTGGGCTACATAGTAAGACCCCGTCTCAAACAAACAAAAAAAAGATTCCAGTAGGCCAATGGAAGATAATCTACAAAATGCTAACTCTTTTCACAAAAGAACTTAGTTCTCTTTTCAAGCACAAAGTAATTTATTGCTGTGTCTGGAATCCTTTTTATTTTTATTTTTTTTTTGTCATTTTGGAGACAGGGTCTCCCTATGCAGTTCAGGCTGGCCTTGAGCTCACTCTGTAGCCAGGGTTGGTCTTGAACTTGCAATGATCCTCTTGCCTCAGCCTCCCGAGTGCTGGGATTATAGGCATGCACCACCATGCCCAGCTGGAATCCTATTATATTTAAAATGTAACTGCTTTCTTTAAAATAAAAATAAAATAAAATGTAACTGCATCAAACTGATGAATGGATAAACAGACACATCGTACATACAAATAGCAGAATGTTATTCTGCCCCAAAAAGGAATGACATACTGTTACACAAGTGCGACATCCTGGATAGAATTTGAAAATATGCAAACTGAGACACAGAGCCTCATATACCATATAATCTATTTAGACAAAATATCCAGAATTGGTAAATCCACAGAGATAGCATGCACATTGGCTGCAGCACAGGGCTAGGGGCTGCACGAGGAAAGAGACTATAGGAATCGGCTGCTTAAACAGTATGAGGTTTATTTTGCTGACAATGTTTTGGAACTAGAGAGGAATGGTGGCGGTATAACACTGTAATTACTAAAAACCACTGACTGGTTCCCACAGCTTAAAATAGTTAATTTTATGTTAGGTAAATGTCGCCTCAAGAAAGAAAGATTTCGAGCTGGGCATGGTGGCACATGCCTGTAATCCCAGCACTCAGGAGGCTGAGGCAGGAGGATCGCTGTGGGTTCGAGACCAGCCTGGGCTACAAAGTGAGCTCAGGCCAGCCTGCACTGCATAGCGAGACCCTGTCTCAAAAAGACAAAAAAAAAAAAGAAAAAAAATTTTCAAATGTAGTTGCAAGTTACTAAAATTACAGCAGACTACTGCAAAGTCTAGGAAAATGTTTCTAGATTATTACTGGACTACGTATTTACTCATTTCTTTGTATTCTTGTCTTTTTTTAAAAATTAACTTTATGGGTACTATTTATGTATGTATGTTGTGCTGGGAATCGAACACAGGGCCTTGTGCAAAAAGGTAAGAACTCTACCATTGTGTCACATGCCCAGCCCTGTATTCTTGTGTTAAAGGATGACATGAAAAAAAATTATTATTTTTGTTCTCCAGAAGGAGGGCTTCTGGCGCACAGGGAGCCACGGGCGGGGAGCGCCGGTCTTC